CCCTCCCGCGCTAGCCTAAGGGCCACCTTAGCAAAGCGCATCCCAGGCTGCATAGCCGCACTACCCTACCCAACCATACCACACATAAACATGACACTACCCCCGGGGTTTACACAGACGAGCCGGCGAAGCAAGAAGAGCGCCAGAAGAAAGGGCCCTAGCCGGCGGGGCCCAGCCAGGACAAAAGGAGGTCCCACAAAGCGCCTACACCGGCCGCATTTGCGGTCGGGGTAGACGACGGATGGGGCCCACCTACGAAGGCTGTCCAGGCCTACACGAGATGAGGCAGGATAAAGAGGGATAATCCCCCTCGATCCCAAATCATTGAGGCCAATTTCTAGCCATGGAATAATGGCGGCGCGAGTTAATTTCAATAAAGGTAATCTTCTCATATAAAATTCATATACCATACAAATCTAATTTCAATGTTAACTGCAATGCAAAGGTCAAATGAAAATCACCACCCTACGCCATTTTCTTTGAAAATTCATGTACCAGATACATTTAAAATTATTTTAACAACAACCCATAACTGGTACTTGTAAATTAATTATTTCTAATGCACAAGGCGCAAAATTATTTGCCGGGCTGCATGTAACAAACATTTGAATTAAAATCCCAGTAAACAATATCCGCATTATATGTAATAGCATTGTAAAAAGTTTTATTATGTAGTGCAACATAAAATATTGTATACATTCTAAAAACTTATATGTAATAACGCGTTAATAAAAATCATTTTGGTAAAAACATTTATTAATGGTTTCAAGGTTAATTTAGTCAAACACCTTTTCGNATTTAACTTATTATTACTAATTTTAATCCCATTATTTTCTATTTCACATTTAGCTATTGTCTGCAGTAGTAATTAGTTCTTTAATTAGTAAGTGTATAACTCTAAATTTAAATAGTCTTAGTTTATGTCCTAAATTATTTATTAAATGATCGGATCCTTCATAACTCCAATTTATTTGAAAAAAAAACAGTTTTCTTTGAGCCCTTTTAAGAGCATATAACTTCCTAAGGGTGCGTTTTAGGGCACATGTTAATAGGAACTTTGGCTTATTTTAATGAGTTATAAACGCAGCAGAAGATTTTAGATTTTAGAAACACCCTGTATAAGAAATGTAGAAGGTTTGTTAGAAACAATCCAGAATTGGTTATAGAACAATCGGATAAAATAATGTTGATTATTATAAGGTTATACTGAGGGATATCTCGAACTAATTTGGTAAAACGTAGAATGTTAACTAATGAGGAAGGGAAACAATATAGATTTTATAATGCGGTTATCAATAAATTTTATGGTTTGCCAAAGGTTCATAAACCACAACTTGCACTTCGTCCAATTATTTCTGGGATGCATAGTCCAAATAGAGAGGTTGCCCAACTCGTCACTAATATTTTAATCACAGCGTATAATAGTGATAATCCTTTTTTCATTACTGATTCATTCCACTTTTCAAAATCTATCAATGATTTTCAATTACCACAAAATTATATTATCATTAGTTTAGATGTTACCTCTTTATTTAATAATATAACTTTGCAACTTGCGAGAGACAGCATAAATACAAGCATTGGGTCAATTAATAAATCTAATTTTTTCAACTAGTCGATTTCTTGTTTAATTTTTTCTTTTAATGACTCTTTTTACAAACAAATCCTGGGTATGCCAATGGGCAGCCCAGTTTAAGCTATTTTAGCACAATATGTGATGAATGATCTAATTGTTAATTGTATTAGTAAACTTAAATGTCATGTTCCTTTTTTTTTAAATATATAGATAACATACTGTTGAGTATTCCTCGATACCAAAGTCTACAGAACAGCAAATAACAAGCTTTTTACCGTGTGGTACACAAAACCCAGTGCCTCTGGCAGATTTTTACATTATAAGTCCTACCATCCACAACAGAAAATCAACCTGATCTTGGGAATGAAAAATAGAGTTATACAAACCTCACGCCCGAGCAAGACTCAACAGGGTCTCAAAAAATTAGCCAATATGTTTTATAGTTATCAATATCCAACAAAATTAGTTAATAAATTTTCAGACAATCCATCACACAGACCTTCTCAGATTCTAGATTAAAATTTTATATATTGCTCATTACTTACCTAATTTGCCAAATTTAACAATTAAACTCAATAAATTATTTCGGAATATTACAAGTATCAAAATTGCAGTCAGCAACTTAGTTAAAATTGGGGAATTATTTACTAAATTAAAAGACAAAATACCTGTTTTAGACAGATCCGAGAATAAAAGATATATCGGTCAAACGAGTCGTAAATTCCGTGATCGTATTACAGCTCGCAAGAGTAATATCAGATGTAACAAAAATTCCTGAATGCTTACGTAACATGCTTAAGCCATAGTATTAATTTTGAAGATGTAGAGATTCTGTGCAGTGAGAGCAATTTAAACAAGAGAACTTTTTTTGGAAATGTGTAATATAGATAGGGAAGGGGATTGTATTAACAGAAGATCGGATATTGAAAACCTTAGCGTCATCAACAATTTTAACAACAGTGATTTTTAATATTTAAGGCTGGATTGACGTTGTAGGTTGGCAATACCTGATTTTCTGTTTGGTTTACTCTGGTTTGTGTGTCATTTCTCCTACTACGCATGACCTCTACAACCATGTGTTCATGACATAGTTCCGGCATTTAATTGTTTAAATAATGTGTTGTTTTATCAATTTGTTGTTAAATTTTAACATAATTTTAATGTGTAACTTTTAAAAACTTTTACTTATGACATGGATCATTGTTTCGTCGCGTTTTCATTTTTATAATATAATCTCAACATTTGTAAGTATAGGTTTTTGTTTAGGCTTTTAAAGTTTTTTCATAATATTGTAACCATTATAGAGTTTCTGAGGAAGAGACAATAAAGTGCTCGAAAGCTTGAACTGAATAAAGAGTCTTCTTTGTTAAATTGACTGACATACCCGACGAAATTACAAAATTCTCAGTCAGTCGTCTAATAATCTACTCATATATATATTGAAATACATAAGGAATTTCAAATGATTTTGATTTAGAATTTAAAAATAATTAGAATTATTTATTTTAACATTTGGAAAATTAAAATAAAACAGATATTGTTATTAGATATAGAAATATTGTAAAAAAAAAATAATAAATTATGTAAAGTATAGATAATAAGGTAAAACGTGTGTGAATACAGGAAAGTGATACAAAATTTAAAAAGATGTGAATAACAAGACATGAGAAAGAATCAAACTGGGACACTATATAAAAATTTTATTTGGCAACGGATTTGGATTAAAAAAAGGAGTGGTGTGCTGAGATGTCAGAATGATATGACATAAAAATTAAGAGAATTGGAAGAAAAAATTACAATTTAATTAGAGAGAATCAATATATTCTCAACCAAATACTTTTCCAAATAGGAATTAGAAGTAAATAGAACTTTAGAAATAATCAAGATTTGGCCGTTTTAATAAGAGAAAAAGAAAACAAGGAGACACGGACTCGAATTCAATTAAAGGAATGAACCAGAATATCGAAAACCTATAAGACCAGTGGAATATAATGTTTGCATAACATAAAGAACTGAACAGAATTCGTAAGTGAATGTACATTTGATTAATACGTCAAAATAGAACGATAATAACAGTCAAATAAACGTTTGTGGTAGTGGACTTTACTATTACTTATATAAAAATTTTGTTTTAACATTTAAATTAGATAAAATATAGAATATAAAGAATTAACAAAATTTGGTAATTATTTCTAAATTTTTTTAAATCATATTGCTTTATTTGAGAAACCAAAATTTTGTTAATATAGTCTAATTATAAGAATTTAATTTTCCAATAAATTTAAAATAATGATTGATTTGATGTATTACATATAAAAAGTAATATATTGTTTAGATTTGTTAAAAACACTGAAATTTTATTTTTATCAAAATTTGAACCGCCCTTGAGATATTTGATTTCATGTTCTATATATAAAAAAAAAATATATTATTACTTAATTTAAATAGTATCAAATTTAAAGAATTAGAATCAGGGTCATTTGAAATTTACATTTAGTAAAAAAAAATATTATTTAATAATTAATAACATATTATTATTGTTATTGTTGAGAGGATATTAAAATTAATTTAAATTTATAAAACATATAATATTATTATAAATATTATAAATGGCGCCCAACGTGGGGCTCTTTAAAAATATAGAGTTTTTTTAGAATAAAATAGGTGTCGAATATAAATATTTTTTTTTCAATTAAAAGTAAATAATGGATTTACGAAGTGGGAAAGTAGTACGCGAAGAAGAAAGCAGTTCAGAAGAAGTAGAAAGCTCTGAAGACAGAAGTACAGCCAATGGAATTGAAGGAAAGGGGGAACAGTCAACAATGTCTAAAGAAAGAAATAATGACATTTCTTGTATTATGGAAACATTGCGAAATATGGAAAAATTACAAAAAATAGAAAGACAAAACGAATTTGAAGAACAAAGAAAATTGCAAGAAGAAAGAGATAGAAAACAAAGAGAACAAATGAAGGCAGATATCACAGAAAATATTTCAAAGGTTATAGAAATAGTAGAGACAAAATTTGAAGAAATTAGAAAAGAGTTTAAAAGTGAACAGAAGAAATTCCAACAAGAAATTGAAATGAATTTAAATAAGATGAATGAAAAACAAGAAGAATGGATAAAAGAAACGAAAAGAAATAAAGAAGAATTTATCAAGAAAATACAAGAAAATGTTAATGTATGCAATAGTATAGAAGAGAAGATACAAGAACGAGATAATGTTATTGTTCAAGAAATTGAAAGGATTGATAGGCAAATAAAGAACAATCAAGAAAAATTAATAAGGTGGAAGAAAATTTAAATAAAAGAAGCCCAGAAGAAGGAAATGAACAAAAGAGACAATGGTTACGAATAAAGGAAAGTTTAGAAAACGAGATGCAAGATTTGAAACAGAAGTACGCAGAAAAACAATTGATTGAAATTAAACATATTTCATGCATTAATAATTCTAATAATATAAAATTTAACGGTAAAATTAACATAGTACATCCAGTAATATTTATAAAAACCATTAAAAATAAATGCAAAGATATTAATAGCATAGATGAATTAAAACAAATTTTAAGGGAAAATTTAGAGGGAGATGCACTTGTCTGGTTCTCAGGAAAGGAGAGTGAGATTGGTAATATAGAAGAATTTGAAGAGAAATTTATAAATCATTTTTGGGGTCAATTTGAGCAAAATTTAGTAAGAGAAAAATTATATTTTGGAAGATATAATGAAAGATTATCTAACAATATGTCAATCTATGCTTTACGCTTATATGCAAATTCCCAATATTTGACACCTAGATTAAGTGAAAGTGATATTGTGCAATATATTTCTAGGCATTTTAAAAATGAAGTTGCTGAAAGTTTGGCTATTAATAATATTTGTAATATGGATCAATTATGTAATTATCTAAATCGAATTATAAGACATACAGGAAGAATAAATTTTAATAAAAGTCGCAACAATGATGATAATAATGAATCTAGTGTACAGAATTTTCGAACAAACTATAACACACAAAATCGATAACAAAATCATAGATACAATAAATATAGTAATAATCAAAACACACAATATAGTAGACAATACAACAATAACTATGTACAAAATACACAACAAGATGGACAATTTAACAACAATTATAACCGAAGTTATAAAGGTAACCAAATTTTCAAAATTCCAGTATTAATAATTTCAGAAACAATAACAGACAACATACACCAAATTTTACCAGGAACAATCAACAACATTTAAATTATCGTAATGAAAGACAGGTTAATTTTCAACAGGTAGATAGGCAACCAACAAGTCATGATATAGAACAAGACCAAATACACACCGGATTTTCTAACACACAAATTAGATCTCGATCACTCGATAGACAAGTAAATAATGAAAATAACCAAACCAATGCATATAATCAACAATATAATGATAACAATAATTCCCAGAATAGTAATAATAATAGTCAACAAAATTTTCAATAAGCAGCAAACCAAGTGGAAACATGAACATTTGTATACTAGAACATCCAAAAGAATTTATACATCTAGATAATAGAGAGGACAGCATCTTAAAACAAAATGAACAATTAAAATTAGTATTTATAAAGCTTAAATATCAAAATTTTATTAAACTTGCTTTAATAGATAGTGGATCAGAAATGTCACTAATAAGTGAAAATCTATGTAAAAATTTTCCAAATTTCAGTAGCAATATCATAAAGATACCACAAATAACTTTAGTAGGAGCAAATAATAAAAAATTATATACATCAAACAAAATGCTAAACATAACTGTTGAAATAAAGGACATTCAGGTAACATTACAATTATTGATAGTACCATATTTAGAACATGAGATAGTAATAGGTACAGATCAGTTATCACAACATAAAATAGTAATAGATTATGAACAAAATAAAATTAAATTGTATGATCATTGGATAAATTTTGAAAAATTAGAAAAGGAGCAGGAAAATATAATTTTAGCTAATGTGGAGAGTGTAGGAAGGATTAAATGTAGAAGAATGAATGTAAATGATATAAGTAATAATGAAAATGAATATAATGAAATAAATAATGATAATTATAATGAAATGGTAAATGATGATGAAGAATTTATAAATGATATAAATAAAATAGTTATTAATTGCGATGATAAATATGAAGAGAGGGTTAGAAATATTTTAGGAAAATATGAAAAGTTAATACAGAAGGAGACACGTAAAGCTAATAATAATTATATTCATAAAATAGAAGTAAAAGATGTACAAAATTTTAAAGCAAAGACTTATCCAATACCATACCGATATAAAAATCAAGTTAGATATGAAATTCAACAGTTATTAAATGAGAAGATAATAGAACGTAGTAATACGTCATTCATAAATCCATTAGTAGTAGTAAAGAAAAAAGACGTGTGAAATATGTCAACTAGGAAAGGAGAAAAACATACATCATGAAGGATATCCAAAAGCAATTATTGCAAATAAACCATTAGACACGATAGCCATAGATTTTATTTCAAATTTAGTAAAAAGTAATAATGGCAATAAACATATATTTGTGATAGTCGATATTTTTTCTAAATTTGTTCAAACGTATCCATGTAAACGAACTAATACTAAAACTCTACAAATGTGTTTAAATAAGTATATAACAAATTACGGTAAACCTAAAAATTGTATATTAGATAATGCTACATATTTTAAAAATTCAAAATTTAAACATTTTCTATCAAAAATAAATATTCAACCATATTATACAAGTATAAGAAAACCATCTTCAAACCCGTGTGCGAGATATATTAAAGAGATTAATAAATTTTTAAGAATATTAGTTTATAATGATCATTTAAAGTGGGAAGAAAATTTAGATAAAATTCATTATTTTATAAATAATGTTCCAAATATCACAACTGAAACAGCTCCAATTTATTTACTTACCGGACAAACACCAGACAGACCGTGGATACGAGATAAAAATGACAATTATTATGACTTGTTGGAACAGATACAAAATAAATTATATAAAAACGCAGACAAAAATATTAGACGGAGACTTAAAAAGACAAAATCAATCATGAAATTTCAAAAAGGAGACCTTGTAATAGTAAAAGCTTTAAGAATACCAAATAAAAAAAAGAATCAATGTGCAAAATTACAACTGCCATATGAAGGACCATATATAGTAGCCAATGAAAATGGAATAATAGTTATGAGTTAATTGATCCAAATACAGGAAAACCTCGAGGAATTTTTAATATATCTCATTTATATAAATTTCAGATTTAATACACATAAACACAGAATATATACATAAAACAAAAACACAGTTTGTTTGAAAATTGAAATACATAAGGAATTTCAAATGATTTTGATTTAGAATTTAAATAATTAGATTTATTTTAACATTTGGAAAATTAAAATAAAACAGATATTGTTATTAGATATAGAAATATTGTAAAAAAAAAATAATAAATTATGTAAAATATAGATAATAAGGTAAAACGTGTGTGAATATAGGAAAGTGATACAAAATTTAAAAAGATGTGAATAACAAGACATGAGAAAGAATAAAACTGGGACAGTATATAAAAATTTTATATGGCAACGGATTTGGATTAATAAAAGGAGTGGTGTGCTGAGATGGCAGAATAATATGACATAAAAATTAAGAGAATTGGAAGAAAAAATTACAATTTAATTAGAGAGAATCAATATATTCTCAACCAAATACTTTTCCAAATAGGAATTAGAAGTAAATAGAACTTTAGAAATAATCAAGATTTGGCCGTTTTAATAAGAGAAAAAGAAAACNTTACATCAAATTTTGAATAAATATGATGACTTCGTACTTCACTATATTGATGATATTTTAATTTTTTCACCTGATGTGGAACAACATTTTAAACACCTAAAAATCGTATTACGAGAATTAGATATAGCAGGACTAAAAATCAATATAAAGAAATGTCAATTTATTAGAAATCAAACAAATTATTTGGGATATAAAATTAATGCAACAGGTATTGAAATGGATGAAGAAAGAATAGAAGTTATACAAAAATATACACGACCTACTAATTTAAAGACATTACGAGGGTTTTTAGGACTAATAAATTATTTTAAAAGACTAGTACCTGACATAACTCAACTTGAATTACCATTACTGACACTTTTACGAAAAGAAATAAATTGGAAGTGGACAGAGGAACAAGAATTAGCTTTTAATACAATAAAACAAACTTTTATCAACAATCTCAAAATATATCATCCAAATTATGAATTACCATTTATTTTAAGAACTGATGCTTCAAAAATGAGATTTGCAGGAGTGTTAATTCAAAATATTAATAATCAAGAAGTTCCAATTTCTTTTATATCTCGCATAACAAAAAGGCATGAACGAAATTATAGTGTAAGTGAAATGGAATTAGCTAGTATAATATTTTGCATAAATAAATTAAGATTTTATTTATTAGGTAATAAATTTGTTATAGAAACAGATAATCAATCATTAACGTCAATATTAAAACATAAATTTGGAAATAATCGAATTCATAGATGGGCATTATTGCTACAGGAATATGATTTTCAAATAAAGTATATTCCAGGAAAAACAAACAAAGTAGCAGATGCGTTGACAAGAATGGATGAAACCGACTTGACAGATGATAATCAAAGGAAAGTAAGAGTAGGTGTAAACATGTTAAAAGACGATAATGGACTATTTTCATTAAATTCTATTATACAAAACCAAAATACTTTAACGGACCAACAAAAATCAAAATTAACTTTGAAGGATGACATTTACATAAAAACTATACAAGACCATGAATTATATGTAATTACAGACGACTTAGCTAGAGAAATCATTTGGCAATTACATATTAAATTTGGACACATAGGAATAGACAAAACTTGGAAAATTTTTAGAGAAACATATTATTGTATGAAAGACAGACAATTGACAAAACAAGAGTTAAAGACGTGTGAAATATGTCAACTAGGAAAGGAGAAAAACATACATCATGAAGGATATCCAAAATCAATTATTGCAAATAAACCATTAGAGACGATAGCCATAGATTTTATTTCAAATTTAGTAAAAAGTAATAATGGCAATAAACATATATTTGTGATAGTCGATATTTTTTCTAAATTTGTTCAAACGTATCCATGTAAACGAACTAATACTAAAACTGTACAAATGTGTTTAAATAAGTATATAACAAATTACGGTAAACCTAAAAATTGTATATTAGATAATGCTACATATTTTAAAAATTCAAAATTTAAACATTTTC